AAGATTGGCTTGCATTGTCCTCCTGGGATCAACGGTATTCGGTGTTCAACCCAATTGCAGAATCTGTAATCATCTTTCGCGTCTGTGAATAAGTGGGCATGCCTGCTCAGTACGTTGCGTATTGCACGGTTCTGACAATCAGGCACGGCTTTGAGGGCACAAACCCGGTCGGTTCTCCCTTGTCTATCTCGATCGTCTCGTTAGCCACGATCACCACATCGTTTCTCAGGTCAATTGTGACACCGAGCCGTTTCAGGATGTCGGTTCCGATGATGGTTTCGGTCGTCTCCTCCATGATGAACATGTCATGGCGGATGAGCGTTTCTCCTATCCTGATTCGTAACCGCTGCGTGCCCGTCACTTTCAAAGAATGCCCGCCGACCGTCTGCATCGTGATTGAAGATGGGTTTACTGGAACCCCGTTGAACCTCTTCGTAATTGACACTGCCGCTTCTGTGTCTACTATGGCTCGGACAGACACACCTTCTATAGTTACCTGGAGGACTGGTACTCGCCACCGACTCGGTATGGATAGAGAGCAACAATGGGGCACATTGACGTTGGTGCAGAATCTCACCACATGACCACTCTGGTTGCATCGGAAACAGCGGCGACCGTTCCGGCTTACCCGTACATTGCGTTGTGAAGGGGTGTTTGAAGACTCTATGGACAACAGCTGCTCCACCATTTCTGATAGGCGATTTACTTTCTGTTCCAACTCAGCATGCTGGATGCTTCTCACTGTCACTCGTTCCGACAAATGCTGGGCGACCATCACCAGATCCAACGCTTTGCTGTCTCCCACCATCGACGCCAATTTCACCTGATCACGGAGTGGATCGGGCAGACTTCGGATAAACTGCTGTTTCAGTAGGCGCTCTCTAGCGTTGCCCTCTAACTCGGGGAGCCCAATCATTAGATGTCTGTCCAGCTGCTGGAAAAACACCACCAACTCCTCCTGTTCGTCCCATCTGGCTGAGTGAAATCGTTGCAGTGCTCGTTTTCTCTCCAGATCCTTCCCAAATTCTGCACACAAGGCAGCCCTCATCTCAGCGAACGAACAACCGGGTTTGGCCTTCCGAGTGAGCAGATACACCGCCTTGGCTCGTCCACTCAACCGTGTGCCCAAAGCAATTAGCAAATTGCATCCTCCTTCACCCCCATGCAAGCCGCAATTCCGTCGAACTCATCGAGCCACGCCTCCACGTCACCGGCCGCAAATTGCTCCAACCGTGTCAACTCCATCGCGAATGGTCACGGCACCAGTGAAGCGAGAACGACACGACAGGGGGGCAGACGTTTATTGCACACCGAAAATGGGCACATGAGGGTCTCACGCGCGCCATCGAATATCGACTATATTTCCGTCCCACAACGCAACACAGGTACGGATGTTAGAGACGAGCCAGTCCTTTCGCCTCGGGAGCTCTGACTTGGAAGACCCGCCTTCCTGTTTTCGCCTCGATCTCCACTTCTCTGTACCCGATTTGGATCGGCCAGGAGTCGTTCGAGAGATCTCGACTTGCTTGTTCTGGGCTGTGTCAATCGGCTCGGCCTCGGTTCTGTGGGCTGCGCTAGCGGCGTATTTGTCTGATTTATTGCGCTGTCCACATATTCCCGCTCCGTAGTTCCGGGCCCAGGCTCGTCGCTAGCCGTCCTTCTCGATCCGCTCTCAGCTAGCTCCGAAGAGCTCCCCCGAGGCATTCTTGGAAGCTGCCCCTCTACAATAGGACTATAGCAAAACGCTGCCACTGGTTTCACTTTCTGTGAGTTCCACTGGCATTTTCAGGCAGTGCTTATCTGGGACGGTTCAAGTATTATCTTGACTAATGGGATGGTCATAAATACTATGCAAAACCGGAACAATTTTGTCTAACCTCGTTCAGCTTCATCTCGCTGGCGTGGGGAATGCGTTGAACACACTTGCTGGGGCCGTGCTACTCGAATGCATCTCCTCCGACAGCCGGCTCTGAGCCATTCGACTAGAAACCTCATTACGTTCGGTTGACCACGGAGCCAACAGGCGTTGGTTGTTCACTGTAGCGGAGTGTACTCTCACAGAGTGTAGCCCAGACTCAATCAAAGATGGGTACAATTATCAGCTCTCCGGAGAGACTAAGCGTGTGGTACAATAACTGCTGTAGTGTGCGTGACAAATGGGGGGAATTAGTGACGAGTTGTGAGCATGTTGATGTGGCCGCTGTGTCGGAGTCCTGGCTTTCACCAGATGACCTCATTGGTGATCTGCTTATAGACTTCGCGTGCTACAGGGCTGACAGGCCCAGGTATCAGACTGGTGGAAGAGTACTCTTGTTTAGAATGTGCCAATATAAACACTGGGAGGCTCCATTTACCATGAGTTCTGTTAACGTCCAGGTGATATCCTGCTATCTAAGAGCATGGGGTAGATTGGAGATTATACTAAATGTTTATCGTCTCCCATCCTCCACGCGAAAAGAGGACAGGGATCTTGGTACGTTACTAAGACAGGCGACAATGGCCGTACCTAATTTTCTGATCTTCCGTGACCTAAACCTTCCTCAAGCTGATTGGCAGCTTGCTGAAAACAGGGTGGGTACTCTAGAGAAGGAACTAGTAGATTGGATGCATGGAAATGCGTTCGAGCAATACGTCAGTGTTCCGACTAGGAGTCGTACTGGGAGTACTCCTTCAACCCTTGATATCGTGATCGCCAGACATAGTCACTTGATTCACTTATGCGTGGAGCCACTCATAGGTAACAGTAATCATTGTGTTTTTACCTTTTCTCTGGACACACCGAAGCTTGCAGAGAATCGTCAAATGGGAAGGGATTTAAATAGCATTGATTTTACGAAGCTGCGGGATCGAGCCCTTCAGATCACCTGGAGCCCTGAACAGGACAAGGCCACTTTGGAACAGAGGTGGCTTCTACTCAAATTTGAACTTGTACAGTTGCTGAACGAATTTGCTCCTCTACGCCCCAGGAGACATCTTGTGAAACCCCGATGGTAGAGGAGAAAAATTGATGGAACGATAAAGAGGCGCAATGCTGAGTGGAGAAAACATCAAGCAACTTAGGGCTTCCAAGGTTGACTGCAATACATAAGGTGTCGAAACATAGCTATTAAGTTGCAGCGGCAGGCGAAGTACTCATATGAGCTTAGGTTGGCCAAATTTGCGAAAACAAATCCCAAGTGTTATTACAGTTATGTCCAATCAAAGGCTTCTCTAAGAGAGGTGGTCGGCTGTCTAACCATGGAGGACGGTACCCAGGCTGTAGACGACGTTGATAAAGTAGAAGCGCTGCTACGTGTCTACCAAAACCTGCATCGGAAGGATAATGGGTCAGGCTTGCCATCACAGCCGCACTGCTCAACTAGCTACACAATGCGGAAATTATTCTCAATGTGCCAGAGGTCTTCACAGTGCTGGCCAGTTTGAACCCTTATAAATCAGCTGGTCCTGATAGTGTACATCCCGCCATAGTTAAGCCTCTGGCTGATATCCTTCAGTATCCTGTAGCGGAGTTATTCAACCAGTCTCTTCAAGAAGGCAAGCTGCCACGTGATTGGAAGGAGGCGACTATTGTTGCCATCCACAAGGGGGTTCTAAGTCGGTGCCTCTTAACTATAGACCTGTTAGTTTGACCAGCATCATGCTGAAGTGCTTGGAAAAGCTTAGAATAAATAGGATCTGCGGGCACTTGACTGAGCACAATCTAGTTAGAGCGGAACAGCATGGCTTGCTTAAAAATAAGTCGCGTCTTACCGATTTATACTACTTTTTAAATGAGATTACCAGATGTCTTGATAGGGGGATGTCGGTACAGGTGTGCTATTTGGACTTCAGTAAAGCCTTTGACTCAGTGAATCATCGATTTTTAATAGAGAAGCTAACGTGGTTTGGATTGCATCCGCAACTATTACTATGGCTCTCTGAATTCTTACGTGGAAAGACATTCAGAGTCAGGGTTGGGGAAGCGAGTTTTAGTGTTGGTCATGCCTACAGCGGTGTCCCCCAAGGTTCGGTACTTGGTTCATTGCTGTTTCTTGTGTTTATACATGACCTGGCTCCTCTTCTTGAGGATCCCTGCTATATCTTCGCAGATGACTTGAAGCTAGTCAGGAGGGGAAACCAAGCGACATTGACTAAGGACCTCATCACTGTGGTGAATTGACCGAGCCAATGGGATCTACCTCTAAATGCCAATAAATGGCAACTATTGACCAGTAGTGGCAGCGGAATTGCAGTTCATTCTCCTGCAGAATCTTTATCATTGCGGTGTACTGATAAAGCCCGCGATCTAGATGTCATCGAAACGAACAATTTTAAGCCTTCGACACAGTGTCGTTATGCTGTCAATAAAGCGCGACAAGAGTGATTTCGTCTTAGGAATACGCTAACACTAAAGCAGAAGTATTCTTGCCCTTATATAAAGCAGTGGTTAGGTCACATCTGGAGTATTGTGTTCAGGCCTGGACACCGTACCTCCGGAGTGACGTCATTTGTATAGAAAAGCTTCAGCACATTGCGACCAGGATGATCGATGGTCAACAAGGGAAGTCGTACGAAGATCGTCTAGGTAGCTTGGGATTATTTTCCTTGGAAGAGCGTAGAATGGGAGGGGATTTGATCGAGAGGTTTAAAATCATTAAGGGACTTAGTGATATTAGTCCCACCCATCTGTTTGAGTTGGCTATGTCAGACCATCTGCGCGCGCATCGCCTGAAGCTCAAACATCATGGAGCCCGTTTGGACATCAGGGCAAAGCTTTTTACGAACCGAGTAGTTAACATCTGGAATAAACTTCCTTTTGATTTAGTGGAATGTGAGTATGTGGAAGCCTTCAAAAGGGGCTTAGATGATTGTTGGTCTATTCTTTTTCCAGAGATATTGTAATTGTACTGGAATATATAGTGTATTTTGATGCCGACACATGTAAGTGCAAAGATTGCTCTTGTTCTTGCTTCATTCCTTTGCAGAAGCAAGAAGAGACAATCCAAAGTCTAAGTGCCGGGGGCCGCTTCACTTACCGGCATAAGAACTGGACGCTTGTTAGGCGGAAGCCTCCATCGTCCGTGTGACTTGACCTGACCTGACCTGACCTCCGCCGCAAGTAAATCTTGGTGTCTTGCCGGAAATCTGAAAGCGCAGGTCGAGAGACGGACGTGAACTCGAAGGTCAACATGGCCATGGTATTCGCAGGACAGACAGCGGTGATCGTCTACTCCAGCTTATTGCCTAGAGTAGTTTGTTACTACTCAAAAGCGGTGTTATCCTCGCCTTAATAACCGGCTCCCGAAGGTTTGCGATATGCGTCATTTGCTTCGCTACTAACGGGTAAAGTCCGGGTAGGGTTTGCTAAGCCAGTCCTCATCCTCTGCCTGGGCAACCGAGAATTGCGATGCCGACACAACCTCTAGACCTATAGACTACGTTGATGCTACACACGTCCACTGACTCGAGTCGCAGTGGCAAGAGAGTTTTTCGAGCATATCACTCCGACTGATTTGCTACAGATCTTTGGTAACATAAACGCGATTTAGGTCTGGTGGTAGTAATCGATTGGCAACACATTTAATTAGGAAAATAAATCAACTGAAAGTTCTTTAGCAGGCCAAGACTTCAACCACCGCGCAGACGCAGCACCAAGTGAAGAGTGGATTCTTTCTGAATGTTATAATCGGCAAGCGTTCGACCATCCTCCAATTGCTTTCCTGCAAAAATTAGGCGTTGTTGGTCTGGCGGTATCCCTTCTTTGTCTTGGATCTTTGTTTTCACGTTCTCGATAGTATCGTTGCTTTCTACTTCTAAGGCAATAGTTTTACCGGTTAGGGTTTTCACAAAAATCTGTATCCCACCACGCAAGCGGAGGACCAAGTGTAGTGTCGATTCTTTTTGTATGTTGTAGTCAGATAGTGTACGTCCGTCTTCGAGCTGCTTGCCAGCAAAAATCAAACGTTGTTGATCTGGTGGAATACCCTCTTTGTCCTGAATTTTGGCTTTCACATTTTCGATCGTATCACTGCCTTCCACTTCGAGAGTAATTGTCTTACCGGTGAGCGTTTTCACAAATATTTGCATACCACCTCGCAGACGCAAAACCAGATGAAGGGTAGATTCTTTCTGTATATTGTAATCCGACAGGGTGCGCCCATCCTCGAGCTGCTTGCCTGCAAAAATGAGGCGCTGTTGATCGGGAGGAATGCCCTCTTTGTCTTGAATTTTCGCCTTCACATTTTCAATCGTGTCGCTGCCTTCAACTTCCAATGTGATCGTCTTCCCTGTCAGCGTTTTTACGAATATCTGCATGGTCGACCCAAACTGGCCACAATTCTCACACGGGTGCGGCCTATTACTTGTCCGACCGTTTAATTCATTGTCTAGGTCAAAACGTATCGATCGCGACAAGTGCAGTCTGTCGTCTGGTCGATGGCTATGACGATTCTATCCTATATTCAATTCATCACAGCAGCTTGCTTGTGTTTTATGGAATGCCATCCACATCAGTCGCTGTAATGCTCACCAACCGCCTTAATTTGGGAATCGCTTTCATTCTCTCTTTCCCTCTCTAGGGTAAGGGCCGACAGTGTTAAATTCGACTAGCTTGTAAATTATGTAGCCCAACCACCGTCCCCCATGGCTCAGTGGCTTAAGCTGCTGGCTAGTTGGCATCAACCTTTAGCGCTCATGGGTTCGATCTCGAGTAGGGGACCGAGGGAGTATGACCACTGACGAGCCACAATAGGGAGAAACGCGTCTGGTACTTTTGCGGATTGGCGTTGCGTTATGTAGGTTGTGGGTTGCTGAGACGAATACATTTAAGTCTACTTCATTAGCCTCATATTATGAGATTTTCCTCGAATGAAATCATTCCCTTTCACAATAATGATTATTTGTGTGCTGTCAAGATGATTCTTTGTTTTCTACCAATAAGAATGTACCTGTGGATGCACCAGAAAACGGACCAGGAATTTCGGAACACCGAGTTTCGATGAATTTGCGGGGCTGATAAAATTTATCAAAGCGGATATGCTGGAAATGTCAGAATGATAAGTCGTTATTAGAACGGTTGGTGTAGTTGTTTTGCCAGGACTGGGTAGTAGGAGAGACGGGTAAAGTTAACGAACGGAGTGTACAAGCCATACACACTTTGCGACTTCACCATCTCCCATGTGGTTTCAAGCCACTGCTGTGACTTGTTTCGAGGCCCCCATTCAAGATGGTCATTAAGGACACTAAGATTTACTCTTTCATTCGTTTTCTTCATATCCTTCTCTGTTTAGTCGATTGGTTGACGCACGATTTCACCCACAAAGATGCGACTTTAGCAAAAGATGCCTTGAGACAACTGGTTAGTAAACTTTGGAAGAGCACAATGTGACTACCAACACTAGGTGTATGATTCCAAATGATGATGTACCGGAAGCGGTTTTAAGCGCATCCTAACGAGCTCAGAAAACCCCTCTAAATGTTCTCATCAGTTAGTGAGCATATGTTGACCCAATCGGGGTTGACGAGCGCAATAGAACACTGCGTCCACTTCCGCTAAAGCGCCACAAGTCACCTGGCGCGTATGAATTTCCTCTGACCCTCATCCAAGATGGTGGTCCGATCCTCATGCGTGAACTGATCTCTGTCTCGCATGAGATTCGAACTACCTAAGCAAAGGAATGGTACATATTTTGCTTCCTTTAAACAACGATCAGTCAGGTCCTTATCGCCGTTGTCTCATTCAAGTTTGGCAGAACGTCAGCCAAAAATTGATTTTAGCTCCGACAGTCAAGCAGTACTCATGACACTGCAAATCAGGCGTCACCTGAAACGTGTGCTTAATCAAATTCCACCAGCCTCGGCAGCATCTGGCATTAACAAGGATAAAGCTGCCGAACACCAGTCCTCTGCAACTGCAACTTAACTGTCTCGTAGGAGACAAAGTCTGCTGCGACATCAGTCACATATGCAGAGATTGCTGCAAACTCAGCCGGGAGGTCACCCTTGGGGTCTCTTCTGTTACAAAAACCGCTAACGTGATTAGAGACAAAGAGTAGCAAATCGGCACTTACCACTTAGCAGCAGATTCGCACAAAGTATCACCCTACCCTGCAGCTTAACGAAAAATGGATCTAACAATGGTGCCCTAACAGTTGTGTACTCAACTGTCCCTGGATCTACCGCTATCATATTTTGGGGTAAGTTGTCTGACGACGATCTGATGAATCTCAACGCCAAATCCACAAACCTAGTACGAGTTACTCGTCACCCGAAATCAGCACACTATGGCGAAGTCATAATTAGTAGAGTAACACTGAAATCCGCCATTGATGTAAGCAAATCGTTTTACTCGCTACAGCTGCGCTACAACACGGAGCTTGTGGGATACGCATATATCGTGATGTCCATTGCAGCGTGCAACAATCGGAGACACAACGAAGAAGGACACAGCAATGCAGACCCCCTAAACACAATCATCATCCGTGGCGTGCCACGGCTTCCTTCTAACAGGTAGTAGAGTGGCTGGAAATCACGAGCTGGAACAGTGGCGATTCATTCGTGAAACATTTGCTTTGGATAATCCGGTGCCGTCACTCAACAAGCTGCGTCTCTCATCAAATCATAGAGGATGTAGCCCAAAATGTCTAAAACTCGGGGTTCAATCAGAACAAACAGCAACGGAGGTTTTATATCGATGGCGGAAAATCGGAAAAGCTTTCCATTTAAACTTCGGTTAAAGGGTTCAGAAACTCTGCAAAGTTCAGAGATGAAATCGTCTGAAATGGCAAAGGGACGGGGGACGACACAGGAGCTTCACTTGACTGTTCCTTTCCTCGATTCTGAAGTAGGTCTTATTGAGGATTGGAATGCGCTTTGGCCAAAGCAAGTTACAGACAAAGTGTCAATTTCGCAACAAAACAACAACTAACAGCACACCTCACATTGGTCAACATTCATCTACACCTGACCCCTTTAACCCTTTGTGCGAGCTTACAGACAGCGAAACAATTCTGGTTATATGTAAATTATCAGAGTTTTTTCAATAAGGTTGCCTAACTGAAAGATCGCCAAGTTCCCAGCATCACTGATACGTGGTTACATACTGGAATGACGGACGCTGAAGTATCGCCACCGGGTATGTCGCTCATCCGGAACAATAGACTCTCTAAAGGAGGGGTGCTGATTCTGTATTACCGATGCGACTTACAGCTTGGGACCACGGAGAATTCAGACTCGCAGTTCCCCGCTTCTATTTGGTGCGACTTGCAGTTAAAAGGCAGAGATGCTTTGTAGCTTTGGTGGGCCATCTACCTAACTGTACACCAGAAACGGATTGTCACCTTGCGACTGCTTTACAACGCACTCTAAAGGGAAGGTACACTCAGATCTTTATAATGGGAGATTTTAACATACCTTGTTTGGAAATCTTTGCTACGGGAGGAGTATCATACAAAACCCCTGGTAACTAGTGTCCCGCTTCACAATCATGTCACTTTGCCCACTCAGTTCAGAACAAGTAGCAGGCCATGTGTGCTGGGTCTTGAGCTTGTCAGCGAGGAACAAATGATTGGTGTGTTGGTTTTAGACTACCGGTTGGGTCGCAGTTGACATGCAGTCATTGATTGCCTTTTGTCTGCTTTGCGGAATATCGGAATGCGAAGTATGAAACTGTGCGAAACATGACGCGTTACGGCCGATTAGTTTCGTTCGTCAGCGCCACAACCAGGCCGTTCCTTGCTGAAAACCTCTCGAAATTCGCCTGGCTTCAGTTCGTTAACAAATTCACTCGGCTGATTACAGATGCTTCAGCGACATGTGTTTAAAATGGGCCTAAACTATTTTCCTACGCAAGGAACAGATATCGAATGCACATGACAGTTCGCAGCAAGGCCTGTCGCGCGTATAGATTTGCTGCAACACTATAAACTTGGGGCAGCTACGTAGCCCAATGTAACTCCCTTACACAACTGCTCAGAAGAGACAGAGCCGCGCATCTGCAGAGGGTCTTGCCATCAAGCGATGGTACATCTTTTGTCGCCCGCCACCATGACTCATCCACAACTCTTCTACCGATGCAACTGTCTTGCAAAAGGTGACGTCTCCAAGAAACCACCGCACCCCAGCTGTCGATAGCATTCATGAGGAAGCACTAGGTGCAGCAGCAAGACAACTGACAGAAACTTTGCTTCTGTTTTTGCAGCTCTGATTAGCCCAGAAGTAGGTTCGTGCCATGTGTAGGCTTGGACTAATAACAGCTTCAGCAGGGCGAAAGTAGAACTGAGCCATCAAACCATTGCCAAGTATCCCCTGTCCCTATACTCTCCAAGGTCAGGGGGATCCATCGTTACCGATAGACTAGTGTGCTATCTAGGAAACTGAAACCGCATTACTCAGAACAGCTTGGCTCCCGTTGACAGCGATTGTGCACATGCACGGAGCAGTTGAACCGAATCAGCTGACGCTGGAAATGTGATCTACCTGTATTTTGCGACGGCATTCGATCGTCAAGATCGTTGGATGCCCCTTTTCAAGCTCCAGTATAACGGGATCGGTGAACCTCATCTAAACGGGATCTCCAGCTTTCTCCCTCAGCGGCAGTTAATGGTCTGAATTCGGAGCTTCTTATCTGACCCCATGCAAGTTGAGCTTAGTATGCCGCAAGGCTCGGTCCTAGCTTCATGATGGTTTTTAGGTTTATTAGTGACGTCGCACAGGCTATCGCTTCCAAGTTTCTAGTGGTTGCCGAAGATATCAAGTTATTGTACAAGATTCAGGCGAATGGAAGCTAAGGTCTGCTTCAGAGTGAACTAGACAAGGTACATCGGTGATCAATTCAGAATTTACCCATTTTAATGTGAGTGAAGGCAAGGTACTCTCCGTACGACACCAGACCAACTACTTCTACTAGATAGGAAGGCATATATTGCAACAAGCTCCCGTCGAACGTGATCTGGATGTGTTTAGTTAAGATGAGTTAAGTTGCTCCATGCCTCGAAAATTGGTGTCCAGTACGGGTTGTTGCGACGGACGTTCGAACAAACAGACATCTTTATTTTTCTACAGATGCCCAAAACGTTTATTTACCCACATGTCGAATGCGCAATTCAAATCTGCCATCCATTGCTGAAACAAGACAAGGCGCTGGAGTAGCCTCAAGGTCGGGCATCCAAGTACGTCAATGGAATGCAGAATCTCCCAGACGAGCACGGGTTGAAAAGGTTTGAATTATACAGCAGACCGTATAGCAGTTCACGAAGCGACCTATTAATGGGCTACTTGATACTACACGAACCACATCATGCGTGCGGCTGCTTACTGTAATAGCAATAATACAAACCTGAGAGGTCATTGATTGATACACACAGAAAGGTATAGCCATCTGGAGTGCCGCAGGAACTTCCTTTCTATTCCCGTGGAATGCCCTTGCTGTACCGGAATTGGCAATATTTAAATGACGTTGGATGACGCGCTCATCCACTTACACTTGGTTACTTAGTAGTAGGTCTCCATTCTACTCCTGACATGTAACTTGGATTTATTTGCTATTACCTGTTGGTACTGTGAAACTACGCG